CAGACAAAAAAAAAAAAAAACTAAAACACAATTTTGCATAATTACACAGTAGATAGATCTCATTGTTTTATACAAGCACACTTTTAACTGGTCTATTTGAGCTCTTTAAAGTCTTGCATTTTCACCATAGTTTCCTTTAAGGCATTTCCTGATTTAAAGATTGCGAAAATAATCATGTCTGCTATGTCGTAACTACTCCCCCATCATGAGTGCATTTATTGACCAAAATCCTTTGTATTTCTAAAATATTTTTCTTGATATATCTTGGAAAAACAAATAATCCTACCATGAAATACAGTATATTTATTTCAAACACTAAACACACGGCAAAACTACACAAAGCCATGCTCTCAGAACATCTACTGAGCATAAATACCAATTCATCCACATTCACAAGGCAACTAATAATGCAATAAAATCAATGAAAAACATTGTATCGGAGTGGTAGTGGTTCACATATGTGATGGTATTGCAACCATATAAAAGCGAGCATGTAAACATTCAGAAAACACAAAGTTATGAGTGAAAGTGGTCCATTTCATTCCGAAAAACGTAAAAGGTCAAATTACATGCAAGTAGCGATTTTGCATGGCTTTTCCACTTATTGCAGTTTGAGCCCAAAGACTGTGAACTACGCCGGCCATTCCAAACTCTTCAGGGATGGAGGATGGATTGGGAAGTGTTTGTCGCACATGGAAAACCAGTGTGAAGTGTTTTGTAACCTGTCAGTCAGATAAACACATCATCACGTGTTGGGCTGCTAAAGAAAGCATGTGTTTTTGTGGTTTTTGATGAGAACTTTTTCAAGCTTGTGGTACCAATGCACAAACATTTCTTTAGCAGAGAGGGAGTGTTACAGTTCCTCATAGTCGCCCTCCTCTCTTTTCACTGAGCCTTCTTCTACAACCAGAAAAGCTTCAAGATCATCAGTTTTCTTGCTTCGGGACTTTCTTTTTCTCTTCTCCTTTTCATCTGCGGTCACACCTGCCTCATCGCTTTCCTTTTTCTTGTGTTTGGGTTTCTTCTTGCTGCTTTTGTTATCATCCTGAGATGAAATACAAAGTAGTTATAAAACAAGAGTCTGTCATTTCATCTTTGAATGATTGTAATCGAATATATTTCACCTCTTTGCTCCTCTTTTTCTTTTTCTTCTTTTCCTTGGAATGTTTGCTTTCTTTTTCTGTGAGAAGAAAAGTAGAAAGCGTTTGATGCAAATATACACTACATTCAAAAGTTTGGGTTTGGTACAATTTTTTATTAGATTGTCTCTTATTCTGACCAAGGATGCATTTATTTAATCCAAAATACAGTAAAAACTGTAATTTTGTGAAATATTATTACAATCTAAATGTACAGTTTTGTGTTTTAATATATTTTAAAATGTAATTTATTTGTGTGATGGCAAAGCTAAATGTTCAACAGCCATTACTCAAGTCTTCAGCGTCACATGATCATTCAGAAATCATTGTGAAATCATCATTCGGTGCAGTTGAAAACCGAAGTGCATCTAATATTTTTGTGGAAAAAGTGCTACTTTTTTTTCCAGGATTCTTCGATGTATAGAATGTTCAAAAGAACAGCATTTATTTGAAAGAGAATATAATGTTACAATATATTGTAACATGATAAATGACTTTACTCTCAATTTAATGCATCCTTAATGATGAAAAAAAAAAACTCTTAATGACTCCAAATTTTGATTGTGTATATTTAACATAATATTTAATCATCTGTTAACATAATATGTATAATGTAATGTAATATGAATGATCTATTATTCATATAATAGTTATTATTAATAGAATATTTAATTTTGTGCAACATACAACATATGTTGCACAATATTTATTTAAAAAAATCACTAGAAAAACTGATATTGACTGTTATATCTAATATTCTCCATACAAAAAATTGGTTTATTCCAGTGACTTGCCATCTTGTTCCTCACTGCTGTCTTTGCTTTTGATGGACTTTTCCTCGATTCCTAGACCAAAGAGGTCACCGTCATTCTTGCTTTTAAAGGAGAGTACAGTAGGTTTCATGGGCTCAGAAATTTTAGCTGCGGTGATGTCATCATCGGAGAGATCGGGAATATCAGCTCTAACTGGGAAAGATTCCTGGAGCAAACAAGAAGGCAAAGGTCTTTTGGGTTAAATTATCAATCCAGACAAGTCACCAAAAACATAAACTACAATGCTCATCATCATCAACTCAGTACCTTATTGACTTTCTGCATGACTTCCTCCTCACTCTCAAAGTCAGGGTCATCCATGACAAATGAAAGCATCTGTTTGGCCACAGGCTCGTCTGGGTCTGTGTCAGAGGACTCCACCTGAGCCGATTTTTCTTTCTGTTTTGCTTGGGGATCTGACAGGGCTCCTGCTTCTGACGCTGTCTGCAGTGGTTGTGAATTGTGTACCGGAGTGGGACTAAGAATGGAAGCCTCTACGTTCTGACTGCTGACACTCTCCTGGGCCTGGATCAATGGCTCTTTGTGGA